CACGAAGGGTCCTACGGGCCTCTCTGGCCGTCTCGAACGCTCTGGAGACCGAGAAGCCAAGTCTGCGAAAATGGCACCGAAACCGAAGGAGCACGTATACTTTTTGCCGTCTGGGGGCCTCTTGGGAGTGGTCTTCGGGTCCCTTTGGGCCACCTGGGGAGCCCGTTGGGCCGTTGAGTGGCCATCTTGGGCCCTCCTGGCACGCTCCGAGTTGGAATGTCTTCGGGTCCCTGGAGCCCTGCGCCTTCAATCATGAAGATTGAACCACGCGCGCTCAGGTTCCAGCCGTGCCCGAGGAGCTCGCATCGCAAGCTGCCACCGAGGAGTGCAGGGGCGATTCTGCGGCTCCTTCTCGGTTGGTAGTGGGGCCAAGGGGGGGACCCCGGCGACGTGCAGGAGAGTTTTTGGGGCGTCTTCAACGCTTCTTGTGCTTCTCTGGATCCGACCGAGGGCCAGAGAAGAACATTCACTGACAAGAAGGTTGCCCGAGTCTGGCTCCGTAGCGCACGCCGCTAGGGCCAAACCAAGGTGCACCGAAGGTCGCCCCCACCCTCTTGTCTACGCATCCGGGGCCAAACCGCGGTGTATCGAAGGCCAGAAACAGAAAAACCCCTCGGGGTCGCAACAGCAAGACCTCACATTCGATGACTCTGGTTTCTCGGGGGCATTGTTGGAGAGCTTCTGGGCCACCTTTGACTGTCTTTAGCCCGTCATGGAGCCACTTGGAAGCATGCTGGAGATGCGGTCTTGGGGTTTTTGTTGGGGTCGTTTTGGAGCCGTTTTGGGGGCCTCCTGGAGCATCTAGGAAGTTTCTTGGGAGTCGTTCTGGGGGCCTCTTGGGCTGCCTTTTTTGGAGCCCCCTTGGCCGCCTTGAGAACATGTTGATTCTTGTGTCGTCTGGCGCCACTGCGGGGGCCATCTTGGGACGTTTTGAGCCCCTCCCCTCTTTAACTGTCTTCTGCCCATCTTAGCCCCTACCTGGGGATTCCTAAGGCTCTCCTGGGCCATCTAGGGACGAGTTTGGGGTCCTGTTGGCCCGTCGTGGATGGAGTGAAAAGGCAAAAATGCAAAACTGTGCAAAACAAACGAATGGAACATCAATGACTTGTGTCTCCCTGGGCTCGGAGGGTTGCTGTTCGCGATGTTCGAGCCGTCTCAGAAACGTTCGAACTGCCCTTGGGCCCTGCTCATCCGCGCCGAGCGTCGCCCAAGTCACCCCAGAGGCAGTCAGCCGAGGGGTCAGCCCTACCCCGCCGACAATGACGCCGACGACGATGACCAACAACAACCATTTCAACAGCAACACCAACAACACCAACAACAACACGAACACCAGCACAAACTCCAACAAAAGTCACAACAACAATCACAATCGCAATCACAACCACAATCATGATCACAAACACAACAGCAACCAACAACCAGCAGCAACAGCACCACCAACAATAATCCGCCGATCCGGCGTGTGAGTTGAAGGGGGGGGATGGCCGGGGTGGCTCTGCCGGGGTGGGGGGGGGGGGGCTTCCACAGATTGGGTTCGGTTGGTCGGGGTTCGGTTGGCCAAAACGGACCCAAACGTTGCCAAGAAGCCGCCAAGACGGGCCAAGACGTTTCTGGATCGCCCAAAAATCGATCCAAGACGCCGAACATGAACCCAAGACAGCCCAAGAGGCCGCCCAGACGCCCCCAGAGGCCCCCAAGAGGTCTTCCAAAAGGGCCCCGACCGGCCAAAATCATCGATTTCCCTGAGGAAAACCTACATTTTTAGCATGTTCGCCTCTTGGGCCTTCACAGTGTCCAACACGGCTCAAGGGGCCCTCAAAAAGGCTCCAAGACGGCCTAAGAAGGGCTTACGCAGGCCCAGGAGGCCCCCAAGACGGCGCAAGAGGGCTCCAGGACGGGCCCAAGAGGCGCCCTAAAGGGCTCCAAGACGGCCCAAGAAGGGCCCAAGACGGCCCAGGAGGCCCCCAGAAGGCCCCAAGACGCCCCCAAGAGGCCCCCAAAGGCCCCAACTGGCCCCCAAGGACCCCCCAGTGTCCAAAACGGCTCAAGGGGCCCTCAAAAAGGCTCCAAGACGGCCTAAGAAGGGCTTACGCAGGCCCAGGAGGCCCCCAAGACGAAGCATCAGCATCCCCATCACCATCACCATCATCATGATCGACATCATGGTCAGTGCCATGATCAAAATCCTCCTCCTCCTCCTCATCATCATCAGTAGCATCATCGTCATCAGCATCATCATCAACATCAGCATCAGCATCATCATCAGCATCGCCACCACCAACACCACCACCACCACCATCATCATCATCATCATCATCATCATCATCGTCATCATCGTCGTCATCATAATCATCATCATCATCATTATCATCATCAGCAGCAGCATCATCATCATCAGCATCATCGTCATCATCATCATCATCATCGTCATCGTCATCGTCATCGTCATCGTCGTCATCGTCGTGATCGTCGTCATCGTCATCATCATCACCACCATCATCATCATCAACATCATCATCATCAACATCATCATCGTCATCATCACCATCATCCGAAGCGCCCCGGATCGGCGGCACTGGCCGGAGGCCATTTCAATAACACACACATTTCAACAACGAAAACAGCAACAGCAACAGCAATAACAGCAACAACAATAACGACAACAACAAAAAAACAACAACAGCAACAACAACAAAAACAGCAACAACAACAACAACAACAACAACAACAACAACGACGACGACGACGACAACAACAACAACGACAACGGCAACGACAACGGCAACGACAACGACGACGACGAGGAGCTCCCGTCGGGGTCCTCTGGCGTGGCTGGGGGCACGACGACGACAACGATGACGAGGTGTTCCTGTCGGGAATCTCGGGCGAAGCTGGGGCACGACCTCACGGCCGGGGCCTCCGAGTTCGGGTGCCGCCCAAGTCACCCAGGAGGCAACCAGCCAGGGGGTTGGCCGCCTGGGAGGCCCTCGGGGTCAGCATACGGGGCCGAACTCGCTGAAACTCTATGGTTGTTTGCATGATTTTGAGGTACTTGCCTTTCCGGTCTTCAGAGCACCCGAGACGGGCCAGTGTACCCCGAATGTCGCCAAGATGGCCTCCAATCCCCCAGGGGAGGGCCCAAGAAGCCCCGACGTGGGGCCAAGAGGGGAACATGAACTGAACTGGATGCACACATTACGATGACCAGCTGCTCGCTAGTCCAACGCATGACATGTCAGTGCGTAATATCGTTAGCTCGTAATTTACTGAGGTATCAACGCATGGGCTATGCAATTCCAACACAGCTCTCCCCAAACCTCGTAACCGCTAAGGGGGCAATCGTAAAATACAATCACCAAATATGCGAGCTAACGAATACACGATGCAAGATACACGGAAAACTTTCCCATCATTCGTCTTTGCGACGGCAACCACTCGCCGCTGGGTACTGGCGGGGAAGCACCAGCCTTTTGCACCTGGCACTACTCGTAATGCCCTAAAGCTACAATTCGCGGGAACAGAGGCTGGCTTGTTTAAAGTGAGCGCTTGCAACAATGACTCCACCACGTGGCAAACTATACTACTCCAACCACGGTGGCCACTCGCACAAATCGATGAGGAGCGACGTGCGGACTAAATCTGATGGCAGATAAATGTCTCGTGCATCAAGATACAACACGGTCGCTTGCTCTCGCAACTGGCGAACGCATCCAAGCGTGCTGCCTACGTGAAACGCCTGCACGAAACTCAACATTCGCGCCACGGCCATCCCTTATAACTGGCCGCTGATTGCTAGAGGCATGAATGTCGGACAACCAATATGTAGGCCCCCCGTAGGACCGCCGCCTAGCTGAGGCACCCGCGTCCCTCTCCGTGTTCTGTTCGGCGGTCCAACGGATCAATAGTGTGTGTGTGTGTGTGTGTGTGCCATTGCGCGTATGCGAGAGAGAACTTGGCGTCATGGGGGTTGAAGGCGTTTCGCCCTCGGTGCTGCTAAATGCTCCTGGCTGCTGGCCGCTGGCTCTGCTGCAACTGGCTTTGCTGGTGCTACTGCAAGGTCTCTGGCCGCACCTTGGGGCCCCTGGGGTTCCAAAAGTAGCTGCCAAGAGGAGCAGGCGAGAGCCCAGCTTGGCCACAGTGTCCCCAGGGCGTCCTCCCGGACGAGACACAGAGGTTGAACCAATGCGCATTTTCATTGCTTGCTGTTTTTTTCAGCCATGGGTGTCCAATGTTGCTCCGAGGGCGACCCCGTGACCAACGCGATAGAAACTGAGTCCAACAGGGCGCCAAGAGAACACCGAAAGGTCCGACATGATCCCCATGGAGGGCCACGGGAGGGACAACGCCTCCCTGAGGACCAAGAGGGCACCCGAGGGTAGTTACCAACCGAAAACCTAAAAGCCGAAATTAACTCATAATAGAGCTCCATGAAGTAACGCTGACGAAAGGCAATGTTGCCCAACATCATGTTAAGACGAACAAGCACGACAACCACGGCATAACATATTTCAAACACGACAACCTATCCGAGCGGTGGTGAGTCTGATGGCAATACCATGTGTAAATCACCCACGCACACACATTAAATACACCCCCCAACTCGTACGGGGGACGATGGGAATGTCCCGCTCCTCCACATGGCTCTGCAAAACCGTTGTGCAACTCACTCGCAAGGACTTCGCTGGAAGAACCATGAAGAAGCACGATGCCTCGCTTCACGATCCTGCGCTGGACCTGCCCTACTTGTCCAGACGAGGCGCAGCGAAGCGTGACGAGTATACTGTTACAGTGAGGGCCGCCCTCCCCAGTGGGCCAACTTCTAGTCCATGTCAAGCCGCATGAACAAGCGAGGCGCTGTCACGGCCGAGTCTGTGGCGCACTGCGGCTGCCTCTGCGGCAAAGGCGGGGCCCATCCGAAGCGCTCGGCTGGGACAGCTACTCGCGCTGGGCCCGTTGGGGAGCGCCGTGGCACCTGAGGGGGGGAGGGAGCGGCAGCCTCAGCGCTTCTGCAGAATGTCGTTGGGCTCGGTGTACTCCTCGGAAGGCGATTGTTGCTTGAAGTGCCCCTGGCCCAAGGTGTCCCCAGGATGTCCAAGGAGGCCTCCGGGGCTCCACTGGAGCGGAAGCTGGGGGCATCTTGGGCCAGGGGCACCTTTAGCAACCCCCGGACAGAAGAGGCATGAAGCATAAGCATCAACTTTCGAGGGCTCGCGATGAGCGCGCCAGCCGCCAGGGGGGTCCACAAGCGATTCAAGAAATCCGCATGTTTCTCGAACATCTATGTTAGTGCAACCTTTTGTCAGACACAACCATGGCCAGCATACCATCGGACCAGGATAAACCGAAGATCCCAGAATTCTGGCGGTTCTGGAGGATACATTGGGCGCCACGGCCGTTCCAGAGCGCTCCAGAACGCTCCGAGAGCGTTCTGGAATGCGTTATCCCGGTTCTGGGCCCATCCGATTCTCACTCTTCGGGCTCTTTCCACGAGTTGTAGCTCCAAAGTCTCAGAAAACCTCTGGCCTTTTGAAAAGCTTTCCGAGCCTTATCGGAAGCCACAGGGGGCTCCTCAGGAGGACGGAGGGTCTCTGAGGGCTTGTGAGGAGCCCCGCCGCCTTCTGAGAAGGCCTGCCCCCTCTCGCTTCCCCCCTCGGCGCGCTGCCGGCTTCTGTTGCTGCAGCCTGTATCCGATACAGGTATCGTTCTAGAGGATACAGTGTATCGTTCTAGAAGAACGATGCAGCCTTCCTCTAGAACGATACAGTGTATCGTTCCAGAGGAACCAAAACAACAAACGGCATACACATGATTGTTCGACGGTCCGCGCCTACTCCGCGGATCGGCGCCGGAAGCCCCTCTCCCTGGCGCGCGGAGCGCGCCAGGGGTTGCGCTGGAGGCGCCGCCAGAGGGGTCCAACCCAACGCCGATCCAGGGGAAACCGAAAGTCGGGGATGGACAGACCTCCCTTTAGTAAAACGTGGGTTAGTGAAAACGACCTGAGGCCCAAACCTGGCGGGCGCAGGCCTGGAAAATAACGGCCACGGCGCCCTCTCGAGAACCGAGAACGGACAATTCACGAATCGACGTGTCACTGTTGGGGGTTCTATCCACCGCCGAGAAAGAAACCGATACCGCCACTCCCCAGACCTCTCCCGGCGCGCGTGCTGACCAGGAGATTTCGAGGCGAAGCCAGCGGCGGCGACGAGGGCCGCCCTGGAGGCCCCCCAAAAGCGGAAAGCGAGGGGAAGGTAGTTGGCGGTATGGGTACCTCGTCCTCCTCTCGCCATCGCTCGGACGTCCATTTCCTGTGTTTTTTTCGGTTTCGTGCGTGGTTTTTACGCCAAATGATCAAGGATGCTCCTCGATGGCCCTCGCCGAAAGAAAAAATGTACACGCCCGAGCGATGCCAAGATTAGCGGTATGGGTACCTCGTCCTCCTCTGAGAGCCAAGAAGCCCGCGCTTTTCCTTCCTATTCGAACTCGCCGGGCTCCTTCCACGAGCTGTAGCTCCAGAAGTGCCTGCCCGACGTCTCCCGGGTCCACTTCCTGGGGGGGGAGCGCGCCGCCCAGCCTTGCAGGGGGGGTGCAAGGCTCGAGGAAGACGTGAGACTCGGGTTCGGGGGAATGCAGACCCCCTCTCGTTGCGAAAGAACACGGCGCGAGGTTTTTCGCTATTTTCGGTCTCTGGGGGCCCTTACCAGGCCTCGGGACCGGCAAGAAAACGACTCAGGGTGAAAAGCTGGTCACAGGGAAAGGGTCCAGACCTGTGGGGGTCGACGTCGTGAGCAGATCATGACGTCGGGGGCGGATGGCGAGACCGACTCGGACACTCGACGCGAGCTCCCGCTGCAGACCTCTCACGACAACTGAACCGTTCAAAAATCCAGGACGGGCTCGTCAGCAAGGCGTCGGCAGACCCGAGCTTCGGCGAGCTCGAGTCTCTTACGCTTCCTCGAGGGAGAGGGGCGCGGCGGCGGGGTTCCGATGGAGCCTCTCTCTCTGTGCGCGGCCGCCGCGAGGTCGTGCGGGCAGCGGCGCCCTGACCCGCAGCCCCGCGGCGCAGGAAAGCGCCACCGAAGGTATGACCTGAGCGCGGACAGTCGGCGGTGGACCATTCTCGCTTTCGTACACCTCCCTTCAGTGCAAACGGCCTGGGACCGAAACCGACGGACCTGGACGCGCAAGAATCAAACGGCCGCGACGCCCTCTCGCGAACCGAAAATGGCCAATTCACTGATCGACGTGTCAGGGTAGGAGGTCTATCAACCTCCCAGACATTTTGAGCTAGGCCCACCCGCTGGGCCTCCGGGGCGCAGAAGTCGGGCCGCCGTGCACGTCGCAGGTTGCAGCATGACTGGTAGCAAAAACGTGTGCGTGCAACGTGCGGTGGTGCGTGAGTGGGTGTGTACCAGTCGGTCGGGAAAAGTAGGTCGAAACATGAAGTAGGAAGGCGTTGAGAATAGATTAGGTTTCCACCCGCTCCCTAAATATGATGGAACAGGTGAAGCCACTCGATCATTGAAGTAGGAAGGCGCCTAAAGTGGATTCGAATCTGGGAATCCAGACAACCCTACTTTTAACGACCGATGGTTAGTCGTGAGAGCGTTTGTGTGCGGCGTGTGGGGGTGCGTGAGCGAATGCGTACAATCACACCTCCTTGTCCTGCACACGCTCGATATCGGCTGCGCAGAGGTCGGTTCTGCCCGTCTCTCAGGCAACGAAACGAACTGGCAAACCTACTCTGAGCGCGTCCCTTCTCAGTAAACCTTGGCCCGCCGATTTCAACACACGGGCGCGCCCGAGGCTCAGAGTGTGTAGAGTGTGTGTGCGTGTGTGCGTGTGTGTGTGTGTGTATGTGCGCGTGTGTGTGTGTGTGTGTGTGTGTGTGTGTGTGCGTGTGCGTGTGCGTGTGCGTGTGCGTGTGCGTGTGTGCGTGTGTGTGTGTGTGTGTGTGTGTGTGTGTGTGGGTGTGCGTGTGCGTGTGCGTGTGCGTGTGCGTGTGCGTGTGCGTGTGTATGTGTGTGTGTGTGTGTGTGTGTGTGTGTGCGTGTCGCCATTGCTGTGCTCTCAGAGCTTTTCGCCTTCCGAGCGCGAATCCACACCCAGTCATGACCAACAGGAGCGGCTGGGCGGGCTGCGAGCCTCAGCGTGCAAGTGGCCAAGATCTGGACCGAGCTGCGCACGGACCTCTCCACGGGGCTTAGCTCCCGTCGAGCTCCCCGTCCTGGTGGGCCCCCTTCGGGGCCTTCCGAAGGGCCTCTCGTGCTCTCGGGGGCCGCCTTGGAGCGATCTTGGGCGCCCCATGAAAAGAAGAAACATGCGCAGAAACATAGACTTTCGGAAGGCCGCGCAGATTGCCTAGTATCTAAAGTACAACTGAACTGAACTGAAGTTCAGGATCTACACCACCAATCGCCCAACCAACCGGTAGGCTCCTCCGCCTGCCCGGCGAGGGCGCGTAGCCTTTCCTCGAGCTTCGTGTGGTCGACGTCGCTTCCCCCGAGCCGCTTCAACAGCGCGGGTGCGAGCGCGCCGAGGATCGCGCGCGTCGGGCCCTTGTCGTTCCAATTCGCCATTGCTATCCCGCAGCCGCGGGGGCCATCGCCGGTGTCGAGCGCCGCGACGGCAAGCGCCGGGTCCGCACGCAGCGCCTCAGCCGCGAAGAGGAAGGCCCGGCCGTAGTCGCGGAGGGCGGTGAGGACGACGTCGCGGTCGCCGCCCCAGCGGTCCGCCACCGCCTCGAGCTCCTGGCCGTCTCTCGCGACCGCGGCGAGAACGAGCGCGCGGTCCTCGAGGAGCGCCGGCGGGACGGCGTGGAGCACACCGGGAGGGTCCCCCGCGCGGCGGCCGCGGAAAAACGGCCCGTGCTCGATCGCGAAGAGCACGAGGTCTCTCCGCGCGCGGAGCGCCGGGCTCGCGAGCGGGAGCGCGCCGCGCGTGCGCGCCAGCGCCTCGCGCACGAGCTCCTCGTCGCCCTGGAGCGCGGGCGCGGCGAACGCGAGCGCGCCACCGCTCGCGTCCCAGCCGTGCCAGCACGACGAGAAGCCCGAGCGCTGGCAGTCCTCGTAGTCGTCGCCGCTGCGGTCCTCGTAGCGCGGGCTCTGGCGGATCGCGGCGAGGACCAGCTCCCGGTCCGCCCGGAGCGGCGGCGCTGCGCACTCCAGGTTGTCCCAGCGGCCCGCGATCGCCGCCGCGACGACCTCGCGGTCCGCGCGCAGGTCTTCGGGCAAACTTCGCAACACGATGTTGCCGTCACTGTCCGCTCCGGTCGCGACGTACTTGAGGAGCTCCGGCCTCGGGAGGTACGGCGCGGCGTACGGCAGCCCGGCCGCCGCGGCGATGTCGGGGTCCGCGCACGCGGACACGTCAATGAAGGAGAAGACGATCTCGGCGGCCCGGGAGATGGGGCTCCGGAGCGCGGCGAGGATGAACTCCTTGTCCCTGTGGGGGACGTGCTGCAAAGCCGCGGCGGTGTTCGACACGGCGATCAGCGCGACCTCCCGGTCCGCCCGGACCTCCTCCGCCAACGCCTCGACCACATGCTCCACGAAGCCCCTCTCTGCCGCGACCGCCAGCGCGTCGAGGGCGAAGGCTTGGTCCGCCAGGAGCGCTGGAGCGGCAAACTCAGCGGCGCTTGGGTTCTCCTTCATCGCCGTCAGGACCACCTCCGGGTCTGCCTTCAGCTCCTCTGTCACGTCTTCGAGCTGTCTGCCGCGGCCGCTCTCGGAGAGCTTGCCGAGCACCCACTCCTTATCCCCGCTCGCGTTGTGCCAACCCTTCTCCTCCATTGCGGCTCGAGCCTCACGAATTCGGTGTGAAACGCTGTCTCTCCTTGCAAGGGTACGTATGCACAGCATGCGCCACTGAGCCTAGAAGTTAGGCGTATCCACCGTTTCTGAAGACGGGCTGGAAGCAAAAATATTCCACTGCTTCCAGAAATAGTTACTAGACACCTATCATACAATACGAGTCCCACCAGCCCTCTGGGCGTCGGTGGTTCAGGGCGTTTCCTCTTCCACCCCTCATTCTTCCCCTTCCGGGAGGGGTTTACCCCTCCCCCTACCCCCTCCCCGTGGACCTGGACGGGGGGTGCCGCAAGCGGTCAGAGCGTCCAACACGGCCTCGGCGAGGAAGCCAAAATCATTGATTTTGCTTGGGTTTTGGCCCCATTTTGGCCTCCTGGGGGGGGCAACCCTAATTGAAGCTCCGCTCTTCTTTGATAGATCTCCTCCGAGATGGCCCTAAGAAGCGCCCAGGAGGCCCCAAGAGGTCCCAAGATGGCCCCAAGATGGCCCTAAGAGGCCCCCAAGAGGCCCCCAGGAGGCCCCCAAGAAGACCCTCAGCGGCCCCAAGAGGCCCCCCCCGAGGCACCCAAAACCCCGAAGAGCCCCCCAGGATCGCCAAGAGACCCCCCAAGACGTTCCAAGCAGCAAAATAATCGCCCAAGAGATACCCCTAAGTGGCTCCGAGAGGCATCCAAGAGACCTCTGGCCCTTGTGCTTGCCCTCCTCCTCCTCCTGTTCCTCCTTCCTGCTCCTACTCCTTCTCTTCCTCCTCCTCCTCCGCCTCCTCCTCATACTATTCATCCTCCTTCTTCCCACTCCCTCATCCATCCATCCATCCACCTCCTCCTTCTCCACCTCCCTCCTTTGCACGGTTCGGCCGTCCTCCTCTTTGCTGCCGCACTTCCCTGATCACCTCAACTCGCCTGGACATCGTTTCTGATGGGCTGGTGGGGATACTTCTTTAGTCAGCGGCCGCAGGCGAGCGCGCCAGCGGCGGGTCCAGTCAAAGCGGGGCACGCGTCTAGAATTCGTATGACGTTTCTCTGTTTCCAGCTCTCTGTCTCCAGGCACCTGTTCCTCGAGCTGGGCTGGTAACAGACTGTTTCGACTGTTTCGCGAGACCCTCTGGACTGTGTCTAACATCTGGGCCACGGAGAGTGCTTGTCCCCCACGGTGACGAGTCGGCCTTGCGCGCGGCGCCTCCTCGCCGCCTCACCCCTCCTCCTGACACAGCCGGGCCACGCCGCCCGCGCCTGCAAAGGGGTGCTGTACCTGCTCGACCACTCGTTTAGGAGCGACGCTGCTCGTCGCCGCCGGGACGCCCAAGAAAAATGTGAGCGTCCGGCATGGCCACTGACTTTAGCGTCGATTCTTCATTTTTCGAGGAAAGGTTCATAGGGTGGCTTGTTAGAAGGTGCATATGGGCAGTCGTCGTCGTCGTCGTCGTCGTTGTCGTCGTCGTCGTCGTCGTCGTCGTCGTCATCGGCGACGACGACGACGCGCCTCGGCGTGCCCCGATTCGTCGGGTCTGCGGAGCATAACTTCGCAACGCTGGGATAGACGTGGTTCCCCCCTGAGGGAGCAGGAAAACCACCCCCACAATAAGCACCCCGACAAGCGAACACGTTTAGTAAACGCACCCAACGCAGGAATTGAACAGGGCAGGGCTGTCCAGGAAAAGCCTGGGGCCGATTAGTAAATGCCAACTTTTGGGGATCGGGGCGGTTTTTCTTCCCTTGACCCTGCCTGCCTCCTCCGCGGCCGCTCTCGCTTTTCGCGGCGCGTCAGTGCATAACCCGCTAGCCGTCGGCCCCGAGCGTGGTGTCACCCCCACACCGCTACGACGGAGAAATTTACTCGCCAAGGAGCCGCAGCCGCTCCTGCCGCCACCCCCCAGCCCTTCAATTCGGCGGCGAGCGAAGGGGGGGAACTGAGAAGGAAAAGGCCTTCTCAGAAGGCTCGGAGTCCCCGGGCCTTCTAGGAAGTTGTTAAAGCGTTCCCTGAAGACGCATACAACTTATCAAGAGGCGCGAGGGCTTCTGAGAAGTCACGCCGCCTTCTGAGAAGGCCTTCTCCTTCTCACTTCCCCCCCTCGCTGGCCGCCGACCAATATCGACTGCCCACGCGGTTCAGACACGGTCGACGCTTGATTTCTCACAAGGTCAGGACCGCGGAAGCAGGCTGTTTTTCTTCGACCGCATCGGCCCAAACATTGGTTGGGTACATCGGGCCATCACTCTTGTCCTCAGAATGCGGACGGCTGGCGACGTATGGCATGGCATCCTCACTTCCACCTCACCCTGAACACCGTCACCTTTCGCCATCAACTGCGCGTCTGCCACAAACGTGCGCGCCTGTCCAAATATATTCGTGGCCTCTGGCCCTAACGATTCAGTACTTCGGAGGGTTGCCCCGGGAGGTTCGGGCCGCCGAAGCGCGCCCAGGACAGCAAAGCCAAGCCCACAGAGGCGCCAGGCCAATGCCCCTCGCCACCGCCCGAGACGTAGCGACCAACCAACCACCAAAATTCGAGAATCAAGGACAAATTGTCAAAATCAACGTTTCGGCTATCGGGGATCTTCTGACCCGGGTCAATCCAGACCCGGGTCAGCAGGAAACCAAAAAACTGCAATGCAGGAAAAAACAATTGCAACGCAGGTCTCCGCAAACCTGGGTCGGCCAATATGCGCGGCCGCCCCGCGGCCACGAGCGGCTCGCTGACCCGGGTCAGCCAGAGGGGGCCTTCGCAGGATCCTGCAGGATCCGGTGCCCTGGCTGACCCCTCGCCATCGCTCGGACGTCCATTCCTCGTGTATCTTTTGGTTTTGTGCGTGTTCTTTTTCGCCAAGTGATCAGGGATGGTCCTCGATGGCCGTCGCCGAGAAAAACATGCACACGTCCGATCGATGCCAAGGTGCCCTGGCTGACCCCCGTTTGCACTGACCCCCGTCGCTGAGGCCCCGAGGCTACTCACTGAGCGGCCTGCCGTGGAGCATGAGATCTCGTCGACGCGCGGCGCGCGCCTGGCTCTCAGGGGACCCCACCGGCCGCCCGGCCGTGCCCGTGCTCTGTCCGCGCGGCGCGGCCCGAGGGGCAGCGCGCGCGCGCAGGAGGGCCCGAATCGAGGAGGGGCGCCGCAGCACTCCCCTCCCTCGAAGAGCAGAGACTCGCCATCGCTCGGAGGTCCAGTTCCCGTGCACTTTTCGGTCTCGTGCGTGTGTTTTTTGCTCGATGGTCCAGGATGGTCCTCGATGGTTCTCGCCGACAGAAAATACGCACACGTCCAAGCGATGCCAAAAGGAGCGGCATAAAACTGACTCATCGGAATTCCGCGCGGATTTGTTGAATCGGTGCTTGCCTCCCCCCGGGCGGCGCCCCTGGCGCCGCAGGGAGGGGGGGTCCAGCGCCGACCCAAGAGACCTGCGCGGAGCTCTGGGAAAGCATGTTTGACGCTGATTGCTCCTCGATCCTCTACTTCTTTCATCACTCATCCCCAGCCGAAGCGGTCGCTCCCTTGGATGAGGCTTACTCTACGGAATCCAAACGCGTCCCCCATCTCCATGCACTCCACGGCCACGGAGGTCACGACACGCGTAGGTAAATTGGATGAAAAGGAGGCACGGAAGGGGAGGGGAAGGGCGGCAAGCAACCACAACGACATGGGGAGAGCAGGACGACAAGACCGGGGGGGGGCGGCACTGCTGCCCGTGAAGCCAGACTCCTGTGCATCGACATGATGGTGAGGGTCGCCGTCTTGATGTCGGTGATAAGGCTCGTACCGCCATCCACCGCCGCCCTGCGTATGTCGAAGCCGTCGGTGAGGGCCTGCGAGTCCATGGAGTCCGGCACGTTGATGACCAAATCCAGCTTCCCCTGCTGCAGCAACGTCAAGACGTTGGGTTCTCGCTTCACGCGCGGCCTTAAGACAGTCCACAGGATGGCGATCGGCCCCCACTCCAACCTCTGGACCTGCACGCTACATCGACAAATCATACCTGCATTGCGGTTCGGAACGGGGGAGGCCTTGACGTGTCTCGATGAACGTGATATATTGATGCCCCCAGGGGGGTAGTCGACAAAGAAATTGCCAATCCAAATGCAAAGACAGACCAAGGCCCTCTTGTCCGCAAAACCGCAGCCGAGCCTTCTTCAAACATAGCGCCCTGAACACGATTCCATCCGATTCGCATGGTGGAATGCAGTCCTAGCCGCGAGGAAGCCTGCAACAGCCCCGAATAGAAATGGAATCGAGCACACGAGCAAAAGTGCAAGGTGAGGATCAAAGACCCGCTGGGCGTCCAGGTTGAAGCACTCGCGACGGCGCCAGGCAACCAACGTCCTAGGATTTCGACGGCAACCGACTGCGGTGTTGGTGAAGACCTCGCACATAGAGTCCGAGTAGATGGTGTCGGAAGCTCGAGAGGCATCGCCGATGCATCGCCGATGCATCGCAACCGTCGGCGGGGAACACATCGGGCCCAACATCGACCCGCGTCGCCGATGCAATGCGATGCGGCGCGGTCCTCCAAAAACGTTTTGGGGGCCTGGAGCTTGGCCGCAGCTGTAGAGGACGGCGACGCTGCTAGGGGGAGGCGGGGGAGCGAATGACGCCCCTGCCCAAACACCCTGTGGGCGCACGGGGCGGAGCCGAGCCTCGGCCGAGCCTGCCCAACCAGCGGAATCCTCGAGCCCAGCGGCCCGAAGCAGAAGAGAAAACCACCGCATAAGCCCAAAACTTTCGGAGCCCCGCGCGGATATCTTGATCGGCGCTGGACCCCCCTCTCTGGCGCGCGGACGGCGGGCCAGGGGCGGCGCCTGAGGCACCGCCAAGTTGGACCCAACGCCGATCCAAGACATCTGTGCGGACCTCCGAAAGTTTACGCGTATTGAGCATCGTTTCGCCGATCCCCATTCCCACCGGCATGGCCTTGACCCCAATTGCCGACCTACCCATGCGGGTGGGTATTTACGTAAAACCCCGCATATGCGGAGACGTGTTAGAGGGGCGGCGGGGTCGTCGGCAGTCTGCGATGCTCTTACAAAATCCAGCCGCAATCGCCGACATGTGAACACTTTGCATACACTTTCGACGGTCCGCGCGGATTTCTTAGATTTGCGCTGGACCCCCCTCGGGGGCTCCAGCGCGAGTCCAGGAAATCCGCGCGGAACGTGGGAACGTGTAAATGTGTGCAGCTTGTTGTTGTTGTTGCTGTTGCTGCTGTAGTTGTTGTTGTTGTTGTCGTTGTCGTTGTCGTTGTTGTTGTTGTTGTTGTTGTTGTTGAACTCTCATTCTTGAAGAATAATTATTGTTGATCCCCCCCGACCGGTGCACATTGATTTTTTTCGATTGAAGTGCCACCCCCGGGGCTCGCACCTTGTTTTTCTCAAGGAAAGTCTTCCTGCTCAAACTGTGCACCTGCCCCCCGGGCTACAACAACAACGGCTCCCGCCTGAGACTTCCTTGATTTTTACTCAGACCCCCGCTCCCGCCTGAGACTTCCGCGCAATTTACTCAGGAAAGGCGCTCCCGTCTGAGACTTCCTCGCAATGTAATCAAGACCCCCGCTCCCGCCTGAGACTTCCATGCAATTTACATAGGAACGGCGCTCCCGCGTGAGACTTCTTCGAATTTTACTCAGGACCCCCGCTCCTGGCTAACATTTCCGCGCAATTGACTCAGGAACGGCGCTCCCGCCTGAGACTTCCTCGCAATTTAGTGAGGACCCCCGCTCCCGCCTGAGACTTCCGTGCAATTTGCTCAGGAACGGCGCTCCCGCTTGAGACTTCCTCGCAACTTAGTCAGGGCCCCCGCTTCCGCCTGAGATTTCCTCACAATGTACTCAGGACTGCGCTCTCGCGTGCGACGTCCTCACAAATTATTCTGGAATTGCGTTTCGGCGCTCAGGAACCACGCACGCGCCAAGGACGCCTTCACAACGTGGTATCTTCCCTCTTCCTTCGTCCTTCCCCCTCCCCTTCCTCCCACTCTCCCTCGTTCTTCCCCTCCTCCTCTTGCAGGGCCCGCGCCAATTCCAATGGCGGGCAGAGAGATGTACGCCCCCGAAGGATTGTCCGCCCGTTCCGGTTTGCCCGTACGTCTAAGCCCGCCGGCCCCAGCAAAGAGAAATAATCCCCCCGAAAGGGGTGTGATCGAAGACGAAGAGGGCGGGTATCGAGGGTGTAGGGTATACGTGTTGAATGACTCGCGGGCAAGTAAGAGCGTACAGCCTTAAAATGGTTGTTGTTGTTGTTGTTGTTGTTGTTGTTGTTGTTGTTGTTGTTGTTGTTCGATGGCTCATGCTGGTTCGTCTTCGAGGAGGCGCCGTGGCCCGAGCATATCGCACCACGTCGCCAGCGCACCCGCAACGCGCCGAGAGCGGATGCCGCCGCCGGGCTCACAAGATCCCTCACCGCACCCTTCGAGGTGCAACCCGGCGGGCTGCGATGCCACCCCGAGGGCCCCCATCCCCCCCCGGGTTTCGGTCAGGCAGTCTCCCGGATCTCGACTAGGGGATCGACTGCAGAATTGATTTACCCCAGAATTGATTTTCTCATCGGGTCTGCGGAATCATACTTCGGATGCCCAATCGATGTGCTAACATGTTGCGTATTCGTCGTAGACTCGATAGGGGAAAACGACTTTTGGGGTAAATCAATTAGATCATCGATCCCCTACTCGAAGATCCAGCAGGAGTCCGAATCTGAATCTGAAGAAAGGCTCACCAACAATCTGTAAGAGAAAACGGCATCTCCTCATCCCTGACAGCACGCGAGGGGCCCTCCCTCCGGGATGGCCCTGCGGCTACAGCAAGACTCCAGTAGGAGGCACGAGGAGGATGACGGAGCACGGGGAGTGAGTGGGGAGAACCAGTCGGGCGCACGATCACATGGGCCACGGACCCATGGATCTGGATGCGTGAGCGCCAAATCCACGGATCGAGGAACGTCCACCCCCCAAACAAGGGGCCAGTGCCGCCTGAATTGGCGACGGGGAGCGTCGCTTCTTGTCTGGAAGCGGCACCCGTCCCGTCGCCAATCCGCACGCCTCGATCCCTGTTTCCGTTCCCTCGAACGAGGGGCAGGAGGAGAAGCGATCTCCAAAGCCCCCCCCCCTGCGACTACACACGGGGCCACCCCCACTCGGGAGGACTGGACCCGGGTGTCGCCACGTGTGTGTCCTGGTCCAGGGGCCTTGCCCTCTCTTGGCCTTGACGTGAGGCCCCGCCTTCTCTTGCCCCCCCTCTGCAAATGAAAGCTGTGCGTGGCCCGCTTAGCTTCTATCGGAAGAGGCTCGCTCTCGACCCGCGGATCAGAAAAAAGTGTCCCGCTCCCAAGGTGCCCCCCTGGGCCTCGCGAGGGGTGCCCTGGAGGCCCCGGACGCCTCCCTGGGAAACATCGTGGGGGCACCTTGGGCCGGGGGCACTTCTGATGAGGGGGCCCAAGGACACACACACATATATATGTATATATATATATATATATATATCTGTATATAAATATATACAAATACACACAAATAAAAATATTCCCCATATTTTCCAATCTGGGTTTCTGTCTTCCCGCCCACTTCCCATATTTTCCCAGATTTTTCCAGTAATCGAGGATTCATTGTGTCTGTGTTTCTTTTCCTCCTGATTCTGGCAACACCCGGTGGACGGCCCCCGACCTCGACGCCGCGAGTTCTCCGCGCCGCCGGCCCCATGGACCACCCGACGCCGAGCGCGGGCCGTGCTCTCCGCGGGCACCCGGGGGCCAGGAGCGGGCCCCCACAAGCCCCAAGGTCCGTGCCCTGGGCCCGAGGCGCCGCCGCCAGGGCCTGCCGCGGACCTGGCTCCGATCGGGGCTCGGAGGCGAGTGCGGCCGTGGTGGCGACGGCCGTGCGAAGATTCGCAGATCTCTGCGGAGCCTCCGCGAGCGGCGATCCTGGCAGGAGGGGCCCCGAAAGAGTCCTGGGCACCAGAGCTTCCCTGGGACCAACAACTTTCCATGCTGGGTCGTCTGCTCCGAGGGAGCGCGATCCACTGCGGCTGTGCTGATTCATCCCTGAGGGGGGTCAAAGAACCGGGGGGGCTCCCACCCCCCAAAAAAAAATCGCTGGGGGGTGGGGTGAAAACCGAAGGGATCCCCCCGCAACCTCCCCAAACTGTACCCCCCCCACCCCAGGCCTCCCCAGGAGGTTCCCCCCCCCCCGGGGGGTTTCGAACCCTCCGCCCGATAGGGTCCGCCCGTCCCGACCCGCCCCGTAGGGTTCTCATGTGTCATGCTGTATACGCATCAAACTTGAGTGTCCCGCCCGCCCGACTCGACCCGCCCGTTAGCGTCCGCCCGCCCGACCCGCCCGTCAGGTTTCTCATATGTCATGGTGTATACGCATCAGACTTTTGTGTCCCGCCCGCCCGACCCGAATGCCCGACAGGGTTCACCGGCCCGACCCGCCCGATAGGGTCCGCCCGTCCCGAACCGCCCTTTAGGGTTCTCATGTGTCATGCTGTGCCCGAACCGACCCGCCCGTTAGCGTCCGCCCGCCCGACTCGCCCGAGAAGGTCCGCCCGTCCCGAACCGCCCCGCCCGCCCGACCCGACCACCCCGATAGGGTCCGCCCGCCCGACCCTTCCGATGGGCTCCGCCCGTCCCGACCCGCACATTGAGGTTCTCATGTGCCATGCTGTATACGCATCAGACTTTCGTGTCCCGCCCACCCGACCCGACCCGCCCGATAGGGCCCGCCCGCCCGCCCGATACGGTCCGCCCGTATCGACCCGCCCCACCTGCCCGTCCCGACCCGCCCGTCAGGGGGCTCATGTGTCATGTTTTATACGCATCGGACGTTCGTGTCCCGCCCGCCCGACCCGACCCACCCCCCGATAGGGTCTGCCCGACCCGCCCGATAGGGTCCGCCCGTCCCGACCCGCCCGGTAGGGTGTTCATGTGTCATGTTTTATACGCATCAGACTTTTGTGTCCCGCCTGCCCGACCCGACCAGCCCGATAGGGTCCGCCCGACCGACCCGCCCGATAGGGTCCGCCCGTCCCGACCCGCCCGGTAGGGTTCTCAGGTATCATGCTGTATACGCATCAGACTTTTGTGTCCCGCCCGCCCGACTCGACCCGCACGATAGGGTCCGCCCTGTTAGGGTTCTCGTGTGTCATGCTGTATACGCATCAGACTTCAGTATCCCGCCCGCCCGACCCCACCCGATAGGGTCCGCCCGCCCAACCCGCCCGATAGGGGTCCGCCCGTCCCGACCCGCCCGTTAGGGTTGTCATGTGTCACGCTGTATACGCATCAGACTTTAACCCGCCCGATAGGGGTCCGCCCGTCCCGACATGCCCGTTCAGGTTCTCATGCGTCATGCTGTATACGCATCAGACTTTAGTGTCCCGCCCGCCCGACACCACCCGCCCGATAGGGTCCGCCCGCCCGACCCTTCCGATGGGGTCCGCCCGTCGTCGTCGTCGTATTCGTCGTCGTATTCGTCGTCGTCGTCTTCGTCGTCGTGGTCGTCGTTGTCGTCATCGTTATCGTCGTCCGTCATCCGTCGTCCTCGTCCTCGTCGTCGTCATCGTCGTCGACGTCGTCGTTTGCCGGCGGCGACTGGGGGGGGGCAGGAACCACCCCGGGAGGGCCTGGGCAGGGAGGGGGGTTCGAACCCCCCCCCTGGCGTAAGCATGTGTCGTCGCCGTCGTCGTCGTCGTCGTCGTCATCGTCGTCGTCGTCGTCGGCGGCTGCTGCCAACGGCTGAGGGGGGGGGTCGAACCCCCCTGGGAAGGCCTGGGGAGGGGTAGGGGGGTTCGATTGCACCCCCCCCTGGTTTTGCGGGGGGGGGAGGTCCCCCCTTTTCCCGAACCTCCCCCACCGCCTGGTTGGAGACCCCTCCCCCCCCCCACCCCTGCCAGTGGCGCCAGAAAGCGCTCTTTCTCTGCTCACGGTCCCGAGGCCCGAGGAGGGCCCCGAAAAACAGCGAAGAAACTCGGGACCCTTAGCTTCAAGACCCGCCTGTTCTTCATGGCGTGGAGGCGCGCAGAGGAGGAGGAGGCTGCTTCTTAGAAGGCGTTGGCCTTACATCTACAGAGAAGGCCCGCGCCTTCTGTGATGCAGGGGTGCTTCCAGGAATTCCCGGGCCCCTCCCCCTACCCCCTCCCTCCCTCCTGGCCTCCTCTCCTGGGCGACCTCTGGCCGTCCTCCTGGAAGAGGCTCCTCAGAAGGAAGGCAGGGGGGCCAAAGAGACGCGGTGTCTCCTCGGAAGGCCGCCACACCCTCGCCCGGCCCCCTCCTCCTCCTCCTCCTCCTCCTCCTCCTCCTCCTCCTCCTCCTCTTCTTCTTCTTCTTCTTGTTCTTCGTCTTATTCTTCCTCTTATTGTTCTTCCTCTTCTTATTCTTCTTCTTCCTCTTCTTCTTCTTCGTCTTCGTTTTCCTCCTCTTCTTCTTCTTCTTCTTCTTCTTCTTCCTCTTTTTCTTCTTCTTATTCCTCTTCTTCTTCCTCCTCCTCCTCCTCCTCCTCCTCCTCCCCCTCCCCCTGCTCCTCCTCCTCCTCCTCCTCCTCCTCCTCCTCCTCCTCCTCCTCACACGCCGACGCTGGACCTCTCCTGTGGGGCGCCTCCAAGCCAGACCCTCTACGGGCACCTGGCCGCGCGCGAGCGGGGACGTTGGGGAGCGAACAAGGACGTAAGCATAGAGAAACTCGGAGGTCCGCGCGGACGTCTCGGACCCGCGCTGGACCCCCCTGGCGGCGCCTCCTGCGCCGCCCCTGGCGCGCCCCGCGCGCCAGTGAGGGAGGTCAAGCACCGATCCGAGAACTCCGCGCGGACCTCCGAGTTTCCATGCTCTTGTTCGTTCCCCTTGGACGGGCGCCGCAAGCTGGGCGCGCGGCTTGTAGACGAGGATGGCGGACTCGATGCCGGCCTGCGGCCGGGCACTGTCCCCTCGGGGTGGAGGAGGAGGAGGAGACAGGAGGAGGAGGAGGAGACAGGAGGAGGAGGAGGAGGAGGAGGAGACAGGAGGAGGAGACAGGAGGAGGAGGACAGGAGGAGGAGACAGAGAGGAGGAGGAGGAGGAGGAGGAGGAGGGAGGAGGAGGAGGAGGAGGAGGAGGAGGAGGACAGGAGGGGAGGAGGAGGAGGAGGAGGAGGAGGAGGAGGAGGAGGAGGAGAGGAGGAGAGGAGGAGGAGGAGGGAGGAGGAGACAGGAGGAGGAGGAGGAGGAGGAGGAGGAGGAGGAGGAGGAGGAGGAGGAGGAGGAGGAGGAGGAGGAGGAGGAGGAGGACAGGAGGAGGAGGAGGAGGGAGGAGAGGAGGAGGAGGAGGAGGAGGACAGGAGGAGGAGACAGGAGGACAGGAGGAGGAGGAGGAGGAGGAGGAGGCGGAGGCGGGGGAGGCGGAGGCGGAGGACCCTCGGGCCACTCCCGCAGGCACGCCCCGGCTCGCGGCCCGGATGTGGCCGCGAGGGCGCGCGGGCCAGGAGGCAGGCCCCCCTCTCGTCCAGGCCAGGGGACGTGGCCCCCTCGGGTAGAAGCAGAGCGAGGCGCACGCGAAGAGAAGGGGAGCCCAGGCAAGCAGGGCAGAGCGGGACCCCCCTCTCCAAAAGTTTTGGGGGCGTCTTTGGCCCTCGTGCCCAGTGTTCGGTTTTTCGACGAAACGGCGGCGGTCCCGCTTGGCCCACATCTGATCCCCTCACAATCAGTCCCCAGAACCTTCCCGGTGTCCATTCTAACCAGTTCTTTGAGGCGGATCCAGCCGCGGTGACGAGAAACCTCCAGGAAGCCCCCCCCCACAGGACGGAGAACGCAGTCCACTCTTTTGCTGTTCGCGACAAATCCCCCTCTCAAATTGGGGTTGTTGGGTGCGGAAGGCCGATGCCGGAAGCCGCCCACATGAGCGACGGAAGGGCAAGGGCCCCGTGTCGGACGACGCGGCCACCTCGCAGGGTGGCTGACGCGCGAGTGCCTGTGCGGACGGCTCTCTTTTTGTTATGTCGCTCACGCGAGGCTGGAGCAGACGGGGTCGGGGCCTGACGATCGCACCGCATCGCCGACCTGTCGCCGTTGCATCGGCGACTTCGGGATGGAGGCAATCGGGCTCCCGATCGAGCAGCATCCCCGATGCGTTGGCGATGCGGCGAGATGCCCCGACCCCATCTACTCGCGCTCCATTTGGGCGGTAACGAAAATGGGGACGGATAAAATGGGGACGATGACCGACGGTAGCTCCTGTCCGTCGGCCTGAGACGAGGGACGCCTGTCCAACAGTTGCCGCGGTCGGTTTGGGACAACAGTTGCTGATTTTTTGCCTGTCCCCATGCCAGGCGGCCAGAAGGCTAGGCAGATCCCACTGCCGCAGGCCTGGCCCACCTGGGATCCAGGAGCGATGTATATATGGTAATGCCTCCCTGGCCAAGCCAGGAAGGCGAGTACACCGCTCCTGGGCAAAGGATAAAGCCAGGCCTGGGGCGGTGGACACGTGGCGGGTTCCCGAAGCCCTGCACCACAAAAGCTCGGCATACCTTGGGGGGCCGACTTTCCTCCCGCCGGCTTCCGCCAGCGGAGGCGGCCTCGTTCTACTTCCGCCACCGCCCGCCGAAAAAAAAAGATGCCAACTCCTTCCATCCTCGATGGCGAGGTCCTTTCTGGAGTGCATCGTGCTTTGATCGGGGATGGACAGACCTCCCTTTAGTAAAACGTGGTTTAGTGAAAACGACCTGAGGCCCAAACCTGGCGGGCGCAAGCCTGGAAAATAACGGCCGCGGCGCCCTCTCGAGAGCCGAAAACGGACAATTCACTAATCGACGTGTCACTGTTGGGGGTTCTGTCCGCCCCCCGAGCTTTGAGCCCGTCGCCCTGAAGACGACCCGCACCCGCGCGGACTGCCCTGCCAGAACACAGCAGGCCCCGCGGCCTGGCGCTCGGGGGGCCCCCTTTCTCAGTCCAAGCTTCTGACGGGGAGGGCGCGGAGCACGCCACGGCAATGGAAAGGGTTGGAGCTCCGCCCCAAGCGGCCCCTCGGCCGAAGAGGGCGGCAGGCAAACTGCGGTGGCACGTCACAGAATTCCAGCGTGGGGCATCAGCCGCCCCTCCCCCCCCGTGGCGTGCTGGCCAGCGCCCTGAGGGGGGGCGCCCTGAGCCGGCCCCTTCTGTGGTGCCGCCCCCCCCCCCCCCAGCACTGAGAAGCTGGCACGAGTGAACTTGCGCTCCGTGATCCCCGAACAGGTAATCGGATGCGTTCCACAAATGGGGCTCGCCTGCGTGTGCCGTGCGGGCAACACGCGCGCAGCACAACCGCACAATAATGCCGTTCTCAAAGCCTTCGCCAAGCCTACCTGCCGAGATGGGAACGTTTCACGGCTCAGGGGCTCCAGTGAACCGGAAAGCCACAGCAAGTGTATTCCCAGCCGCTTCCTGGAAACCTCCTACGGCGAGAAATGCACTACTTCAAAGGGGGCCTCGAGGGGAGCACATTCGGATGTGATCGACGACCGCCCACCTGTCTGAGGAACGCGTGGGTGTTCTTCGTCGCATACAGCTGGAAGCCCATGTCAACCAGCATCGGCGCCTGTTGCCAAGTCATGACTAGAAGCAGGGCGCAGTTAGTATGGAACGACAGAGGTGGTCAGAGCGGCTCTGGCAACACCAACGATCATGAGCATCGTAGCGCAAAGGAATGAAACCATGACGCTAACATGTTGTTCCTCAGCTTTTCCTTCGCCCTCTGCCTGCCCGTTCTCCTCCTCGTCCTCCTCCTCCTCATCCTCCTCCTCGTCCTCTTTCCTCCTCTTGCTCCTTTACCTCCCTGCACGAGGAGGCGGGGTGGGGAGAGAGGAAAGATATGAAACTGCATGAGGCGACGAAATAATGGGAAGGATTGATGGGTGGGAAAGACGTGTGTGCGAGGATGTTCCGGATTTCGCGTCATCTTTGAAGGTGGGAAAGGGGAGGGGGAAGGGGAACGGGACAAGGGCGGACAGAAAAACACGGGATGCGGAGAAACGGATGGGGGGTGACGGAGAAGAGGAAGATGGGGAAGAAGGGCAATAATGATACAAGGACGGGAAAAAGAAAACGATACGGAACGGTAAAGGGGATGATAACATGATGCAAGTTGAAGGGTCGAACCGAAACGAACCTTGACAACCGTTGTCGGCTGGCTCATCCAGCCGCTTAGCTTCAGCTTGCTGGGAGCTTCATATCCCGCAACGGGAACGCCTGCGGGACCATTCGTCCAAGAATGACATAACTGGCCCGCGCTAGCACGAACACGCGCCGCACTAAATGCAATAATTCTATCGGGGGGAATTTTCCAAGCTGAAGTCCGCTACCTCCTGGAGCGTGTAAAGGGGAATCCGTCGGTGTCAAAACTTCTCAAGGACCACTCGGACTCCCACATAACGTAAGGAGCCGGGCGCACAATTATACAAATGCTGCCATAACAATGCGTCCGAAACGACCATATTCCCGCGCCCTCCGCCCCCTTCTCCTAAGTCCGCCCAGTAGAATGCCGCTGGACCTGGAGCATCTCTTCAGCAAAAACTAGCGCGATCGAACTTCGCACCCACTGACAAGTAACGTCGCGTTTCCGACGCTTTGGCTCTTGGGTGTGCCCTGCTCGGGCTCATCATCCACGGCCCCCGAACCTGTCGCCACTCTGAGTGGCCCTTTCAATCGCGGAACCCGTAGCGCCCGCATCCCTATGCCCCCTCTTCAAGGCATTTCGAGCAGACCAGCACCCAAATGTCGCGTTCGTTGGTCATTCCGTCTCCACCGCTCCCCTGTTGAGGCAACTGATTAGCTCAATCGTTCCCTGCGGCCGCCGTAGAATCCGGCTGCGCTCGCCCCGCGTTGATCTGCAACCGCTGCTCAAACGCCAACTCCAACGCACCTGATGGGGGGATGCCCGTCTGGATGTCGCGTCCAGGTGTGGCCCGTTACCTGGTGAGAGTCGCCCTGACTTTGGCTGGTGTGCGCGGGCGACGCGCGTGCCCGGGTTGCCCGTCTTGGCCTTCGCCATGTCTGTCTGCCTGCGGTGATGGAGCGGGCTGGTCGCGATCGGCTTGGTCAGGTGCATTGCAATTTGTCCAGGGCGCCGTCCTTGCTCAGCGTCTTCCTTGGGCGGGGACTGCGAAGTAGCTCGTTCGGGCCCTCCTTGTCCATCGCGTTATGAAACAACGCGAACGCTGCTGGATGGCTTCGCATCGCTCGGCAAGCTCTGGGCCTTCGCGTGCGTGGGTATAATATCCAGAGATGCGAAGTTGCGGCGGGCCGGAATTGTTGCGGCCTTCCTCCGTCGCCATCCTGTCGCATGCCTTGCTCCTGGGCGTCGTTTGCGTCCTGGCGAGTGTGGTTGGACATGGCGCGCGCCCGCGTCGATCCCGTCGCGATGCGTAACGTCTGCGCGCTGTCGAGCGTGAACTGCTGCAGTGCGATGATTCGCTCAGCAGCAGCGTCGAAGAGAAACCATTCATATCCCTTATGCTATCGGGCCGATGCCGCTTGCGCCGGCCAGCCCTGTCTCGCGGGCCGGCGCCCCTCCTTCATCAGCGGGATCATCCAAGCCGCTGTGGCTCGGATTTGGGGCGGGCTGGACGACGCGATCCATGTGCTGCTCGCAATCCGGGACAACGTGCGGCCCAGCGTGTCGCCAGCTCGAACAAAGAGAAAAGGCATGAATGGGCACTTTAGGGAGCTGGGCCGGACTTTGACATCGCCCATGCATGCTGGGCGCAAATTGCCAGAGGGGGCAAGCGCGTCCTGCGCCACTGTCAGACGTTCGCGATGGCAAACGTGGAATACAACTGCCTCATCTTGTGCATATTGCCGACGTGGGCCGTCGAGGCACCCTTATGATGTCATAGCAGCGTCATGGTCTCGTGCTTGCAGAAACGCTCGTTCACATGTTCCTTTCACTCCTGCTGACCCACTCCAGCGCGCCCCTCTTTGTTCTAGATATGTTAATTGCTACCGAACAATTGCCAAATCGTTTGTGGTATTTCTTTGTGGAATACCATTCGGTGTACTTCTTTTGCGATAAGATCTGAACCCCCCCGCTCGCGAACCAAACCCGGGCAACTTCGACTGGCGATCGACTGGGGCGAATCTTGCGCGCTTTCGGGCCCGCGGGATGCTGCGTTGGGTCAGTCCTCTGTCGGGGCCAATCCGATGGCACTCGACTCTGCTGTGCTGGGGTCCATCGTGGCAGTCTCAGCCATGCCCGCGCGTGCCTGGGAGCGCCGCTTCGGGTTGCATGCCATCTTCTGGTGCCAGCATATCCGCTAGCTCCGAGATTCGACTACTGCCGTCGAGTCCATCGGGTCCGTCCAACCTTCCAAGTGCGTAGATCATCGATCTGTAGCTCGATGCCCACTTTCCATTGCGGTCGTCGGTGAATCCTCTGCCCGCGCCTCGAAGACAAGCGGACGGATGCTTATCTGTGAACGTCCGTGGCAACGCCAATCGCGCTCGTCCGAAGCGCCTCGCCGCGCGCGAATCGTTCCGCGATCGGGCGCTCCAGCCGGCCTGCTCCGCAGCGATGCGAGTCGAGTGGTAGAATGCTCTTTTCCCCTGACAGAACCGCGGGGGCAAACGGCGCGGGGGGCCTCGCGCAGGCGACAATTGCGTTGGGGCCGTTTCCCGCGCCAAAGGAAAATGTGACCTCGAGGGCCAGCAATCACTTTATGGGATTTCAGCGCGCAGTGGGCGCGCGCGCAATCGCGCAATGAACTGCGCGGGCGCCGCAAACCCACAGACGCGCGCACGCGCGCGCGCAGCCGCAAACCCCTACACACGCACACGCACGCGACGATGCTCTGCGCGCAGGGGCCACGCGAGTGCGCGCGCGCTGACGCGCGCGCAAGCCACGAGGCGCACGCGCACACATGCATGCCCACGCGCATTCAAATTCCTGTGTACTTTTGTGTGTGCTCGAGCGCGAGCTCTTCTCTTTGTGTGTGCGCGTGTGTGCGTGCGCGCGCGTGTGTGTGTATGTATGTGCGCGTGTGTGTCTGTGTGTGTGCGTGTGTGTGTATGTGTGTGTATGTATGTATGTATGTGCGTGTGTGTGTGTGTGTGTGTGTGTGTGTGTGTGTGTGTGTGTGTGTGTGAGAGTGCGTGCGTGCGTGCGTGCGTGCGTGCGTGCGTGCGTGCGTGCGTGCGTGCGTGCGTGTGTGTGTGTGTGTGTGTGTGTGTGTGTGTGTGTGTGTGTGTGTGTGTGCGTGCGCGTGTGCTTGCGTGCGTGCGTGCGTGTGTGTGTGTGTGTGTGTGTGTGCGCGCATGTGTGTGTGTGTGTGCGTGAAAAACATATATGTGTGCGCGCGCGTGGGTGCACCGTGCGCGCGGGCTTGTTCGCCCGCGCTCGCGAGAACGCTGAGCCTACTCGCCGGCGAACGTTAGGCAGCCCTCTCGTTAGGGCCGGCGATAATTGCGCCCCAGAGCCCAACGCCAGCGAAAATTACGCTGGCGTCCAAAATCGCGAACGCTGAGAACTATCCCACCCACATCGATCAGGGGATTTCGAATAGGGCCCAGCAGTTCACCGCGGCGCGCAATCGGGCAGAGCGAGGAAGAAGAAGAAACAGTAATAATGATGCGAATGCGTCACGGAGGCGCGCGGCGTGCTCTGAATGCGAAGCGCTCGTGAATTAGTGCGACGGATCGCCCCGCCCGAGGCCTCGCGCGCGCATGAAACGCGAGACGTCGACGGGGGGCGATGGGGGGGGATAGGAATGCGGAAAACCTGAGTGCGCCGCGCCGTCTGTCTGAGGGGGGGCAGGGGGCACCTAGGTTTCAGTGCAGTAGGCCGAGAGGGCAGGGCGAGGGCGCAGAGAGGCTGGCGCGGGCTCGGCGGCGCGCCCGCTGGCGCGCAGCCGAGCGGCTGCCGCCAATAGCGCCGCCGCCAGGGAAATTTGCCCGAGCGATGCGCGCGCGCGGAACAGCAGGGGGCGCCAAGCGCGAAAACGCTTCTAGCGCCGCCCGGGGGGCGAGGGTGGAGCGCCGCCCAAAGCGCCCTCCAGGCGGGGGATCCGCGGGCCCACGTGGCCCCTCTGGCAGGCCCCCCCGCCCGCGCCCCCCGGCACCCCGACTGCGGCTGGTCGGCGGTCTCAGGGAGGGACCGCCAGCTGATTAGAGGAGCCAAGGAGAGGCTCGAGGCCAGGGGGGGAGGGAAAGCACGAGGCACCGACGGAATTGAGGGGCAGGGCTGAAACAGGCCTAGAACTCGCCTCGACGCCTCGTCTGACAAGCCCCCAGCCCTTAAATGGGCCACTGCCCGCTCGCTCCGGCTCTAACCGGATGCCTGAGCAGCTGCCGGCGCTATTTCACCTGGCCTAAGACGCGCTGAGCCTCTCGCGCGAGCACCCCTCGAGGCGCACCTCCGATCGTCTTCTCCCGCCCTCGGGCGCCAGCGTGGCCCGCGCCGCCTTCGGGGTGTCGGCCGCGCAGGGCGCCTCGCCCGCCCGCGGGGGCTGCGCCTTCGCCGTGCCGCTGCAGCCCTTGGACTTGAGTCCTCTTGCGTTTGCAGTGGCGAACCGTGTCCGCGAGGTCCTCTGGGCCGTCTGTCTTCATCGCCTTTTCTCCATCGTACTTGGTTGCAAGCGCCCTCTCGAGTGCGATCTCCGTCGCATTTTCTCTGGCGCGGCGGGCGCCTCCCGGGCGAGCGCCGCGAGCGCTCGGACAAGAAAAGGCGCGTGCAACTTCTTCATCTCGACGTATGCGTTGCCGTCGTGCTCGGTGTGCTTCCCCGTCTCCCCCTGCTCCTGCGCCACTGAGTAGAAGGCCAACTTCTCCTCGGGCCTGAGCTGGCTGGTGGGCGCGCCCTGCTGGCGCAGCCATGCGTCGCCGACCGCGCCGAGGAGCGCCCGCGACCCCGCGTCGTCTGCGAGCGCCACCTTGGTTATGGCCGCGACCAGCTCGTCGATCGACTGCTTCTCATTGCTTTTGTCGCCTTCTTGCGCGCCGCCTCCCCTGTTGGTGCCTGCCCGCCCGCGCTGGCGCTCTGCCGCGGCGGAAGGGCGTCCGCCTCGTTGACCGCCCAGGTCGGCCGAGAGCGCCATCGACCAGGGCGCCTCCATCAGAAAAGCATCGATGAAGGTGTCGATCGCAGATGCGAAGAACTCGAAATACACGCGTGCGGACATGCTTCTGAAAACTGCACAAAGATCGCCCCCGTGGTATTCGCACACGTGGCATTCGAAGTTAGATGCTCCGTGCAGGACCCCCCGCGCACGCCCTGCTTCTCTATTGCAGCGGCCCCGACTCGCAGGTCCCAGAGGGCGCCTTCTTGCCGCGATCGTGCTAGAGAGGATTGGTTTTGCAAGGGGTAGATGGGCAGATAGGGCGCTGGTTGGGTTTGCAAAGATGGAGCCCTAGGGATCTGAAGCGGAGATGCAAACTCCCTGTTGGGGTTCCGCTGTGTTCCGGAAGCGATATAGGAACTGTCTGGATTGAGCAGCGACCGACCGAGTGTTCTTAGAACCCACAGATTTTCCATGCAGGACCGCGACGTTCTTATACCATACTGTTCTTAAGACATGAACCGATGTGCGAAACAAGACAGTCTCAATCATACATGTTCTTGAAACATTTCGTGCAGACCACGGCGTCCATGGGCGGACCCTTATAGCGTTCTCTGGTGGGCCTATTGGCCCGTCAGGGCGCTTCGCCGCTGCTTCGCTGATTTCGACGACGAGATAAAGTGCCGCCGATTTTGACGAAGGTTATTCCGAGCTCCTGGTCGAACCGCAGCGCCAAGAAACTCGCTCACAATCTGGCGGCCACATCCTCGCCACCTTCAAGCGCGCAGACATTCCATGTCGACGACAACTCTTGCCCGGGGATGGGCGTCAACGGTGGGGCGCCCCATGTAGTCGCGCTGGGGCCATCCACCCTGCGTCGGCAGCGCGGAGAGGAGAGCCGCGATTATCTGCGCATGGCGCCGTGGAGCGCGCGCAATCTGCGCCGGCCAGTCCGGGCACCGAACCCGCAATTCGAGAAGGGCCGAGGTGGGCCGCCAGTGTTTCATGACCTGCGATTGCTACGATATGCGCATGTCCATCTCCCCCCAGCTGCCCCCCCCCCCCCCGAACTTCGTGGCAGTGCGGCGATGCGTGATGAAAATGGCGTCGACGCGTTGGCATTGCGCCTCCGTCTTGACCTCAAATGATCAGTCGCGCCCGCATTCTGGGCCCTCATCGCAACGCAGCTCCTCGACCGGACGGCCGCGTCTTTTGTCGACCAAAACTTGGCCCGGGAATAGGGCGTGGTTCGCGTTGCCGAAATCCGCGTAGTAACTTCCGAACTTTCACATATGCGACTGCGGCGCCGTGGATCGGCCCCCCCGGCGCGCGCGCGCGCGGGGGGCGAGTCGCTTCCTGAAACAGGACAGAAGGCCCGGATGGCAGCCCCCGGGTCGTCGATTGGCGACGGCAGGGCCCTGGCCAATCAGCGGGCAACTCTGCGCGGGCAAATCTGCGCCAGCCCTCCCATGGCCAGGGCGACGTCCAGCAACTGATTGGAGCGCTGGCTGGCGCGGGCGAACGCGAGAAAACCAGCGTCGCCCGGGGCGGGCGATTGACTTCCGCCGACGTCCGACGCGCGGCTCGGTTAAATCATCCGCATATCTAGTGAGACCCGAATATAAGACACCCAACTGCCACGGGGCGGTCCAAAACGACTGTGTCGAGCAACTCCTCACTCCAGTCATCAACCCCACCAAAACTCTCGACTGCATAGGGAAGTGGCCCATCGACGCGCCATGCCTAGGACGCGCGGCCAGAGGGCGATCTCTGGTCGGTAAAACTATCGTAGATGACCGAAGCCGTTCGACTCCAAAGGGGCGATCTTCCATGTCCAATAATTCCGAACTCGCCTGCTCAATACGTGGATGGGGCACGCGCGCGATACTGGAGCCCTTACTGGACCAAGGGGCACTGAAGCCGCGCGACCGAAGCCGATGTAACATAATCTACAAACGTAACATTACAGCTTCCATCCTCCGCCTGCGAGAGACACCGCAGTCGCATGGCCCCAAGGGTGGTGGCTCATGACGTTCCACGGCGCCCGCGAGCCAGGCTTTGCCCAGAGGGCCGAGTGAATGAATGGATCACCCTCTATGATTTCGCGTCCACCAGAGCGAATGCGCATGATGCCGCGCTCCAGCGTCTCCCGCGGCTGGGCGGCCCGGAGGGAGAGGCCCACTCTGCATGCCAAGGAGCGGGTCCGTCAGCACCCCCCAGAGCTCCGCTGGAATTGGCCGCGGGGGGCAGGACCTGCGTTTTGATGCATGTCTGAGATATTCAGCAGTGGGCCCCAAATCCACTTTAGCCCCCGCCGAAGAAGCTCCAAAATCACCATCAACCCTCTGTTCAGATATCTCCTGTTCCTCACCGACCTCCCTCCCTCCAGCCCCCCGAAGGTCCCGCAAGATTCCATGCAGAAAACCGCTCTTCGGCGATGTTCCGTGCAAGTGATGGAGATTGCGGCCCCTACGGGCAGTGCCGCGGCAGGCGAGCAGCCGTGTCAACCAGTGCGCCCTTGGAAGTTCGAGCCCTCCAGGCCTCGTGGAGTTCGTCTGTTAACTCACTCCTCCACCTCCTGCGCTGTCTCCTCCATGCCTCAGCACGCTGCATAGTGCGCTCCTTGAGAGCCTCCGTCACCTCCACGTCCTCCAGGTCGTTGCCTGCCAGAACAAGCTGAAAACGAAACTCCCATTGACTCTCGAGAAAAGCGCTGCGTTCAACCGCTTGTTCCTTGTAGTATGCTGAATAGCTGGCGAGGGCCGCTGAAGAGACTAGATGCCGTGTCCTTCAGCGCCTTGTTGGAAATCCCAAAAGTACCGATCTGGCAGGCCGTGCTCGAGGGCATCCTCCAGGGCCTCTGAATTAGACGACGCAGCCTGTGTGGCCCTTTCCAGGAAAACTCGCCGTCCCTCGGAGAAATTCATAGCATTGAACTTCCCAAATTTCATATCCTCCTTTGCTTCCGTGTGCTGTCTGAGCTCCCGCTGGAAGTTACAACGTAAAGGTAGCATGGTCTCACAGGTGCCTGCTAGGAACAAGTTGGCGTTGGCACGCGATTCGCATGAGAGGGCCTCCGGGGGCTACGAGCGGGGCAGCAGCGGCAGGACTGAACAGGTAGCGAAATCTAGTTTGGGACGCGTTGCCGTTCCCATACCAGGTCGGCCCCACCCGCCCTCCGAGTCCCAATGCAACAACCCGAACTCCTCCTTCAACTCCATCAGTTGTCCACCCGCTCCTCCACATCTCATCTCCTTCATGGTCAACGCTTCACATGCCGTGCTCGTGCTCTTTGTGCCGAGTATTCGTGCCTCTCTTTGCAACTTGTTTTCCTCAGGGGGCCTGGGGAGGAGGGGCAGGCGGAGGGGCCACCCTCCGCCCTTCCCCCTCCCCCGGCGCCCTCCCCCCCCGCCCGTAGAATGGTGATGCGGACGAGTTCGCGTCGAGACGCCGATGCAAACGCTCGCGGGCTGGGGGGTACAACTGTGGGCCCGGCCACTGGTGGGGCCGTCGAGCGGGACGAGAATAGGACGACACGAGGGGGGAGGCCAGCGGGGGACCGAGCGACGCCCCCCCTTCCCCCCCCCCCCCCCCCGCGGAGTCGACGGAGCGCCGAGTTGAGGAACTCGTTCTTCTGCTGCGCCGGCCCTGCCCAAACGCCCACAACGCGTGTTCTGTGGGAGCAGGTGTCCCCTCAACTCTCTCTCTGTCTGCCTGTCTG